GAAAGCGGTGATTACTAGATAGTATGAAATAAAACAAATTTCCATTCTTACCTTCAATACCTATAGTCAATGGCCTTACGGATTCAGTATAAGGCTCAATTATTTTTATTATAATAAAATTTTTTTTTAATGGAATCTATTTTTACAGGTTTGTGAAAGCAAAACCTCAGGATGAGAAATAAAGATAGAGATGCCTTGATGCTTTGCGTATCAAAACGTGCCATCATCTCGTCGTGTTTGTAAACATTTCAGGAAGCGAACTTTTCACATTTCGCCAGACGATTATTAAGGGAATATTAATAACACATGTATTTGAAAGGATCTAAATGGATTTTTAAATATTTATAAAAATTGTGAAAAACAAACAATTATAAGTTGAAAAAATTTACGTTAATTAGTGTATTACGACGGCAACGCTGTAGCGATTTGACAGATGAGAGGATTTTTGTTTATTTCTACAAAAAGTAATTCCTGCATTTTTAGCTCATTTTATAGATTATTCCATTGTGTTTAATAATTTACCAGTACCGTTTGACATGGGGAAAGGTGTACTGTTTGTGGAATTAGTGCAGTTACTAATGTTTACCTTTCGTCCTCTCAACTGTCAAACTGTGGGTTATGTTGGATCAAAACAAACGTTCGTGTTAATATAGCGTATGCCTCTATCTTTATTTCTTAGGTCATAACTATTTTTGCTAACGCCAATGGCATTTAAAGCGACTAGTTGTTCATTTTGATAGGTAGACTAGCAAGTAGCATGTATGCGAAAGGAATCTTATAGGTAACAAATTCAAACATAAGAACAAATTGCGTAGTGCTGTCAATGAAAGGAATAATTGTTTACATAAAAATCAGGAAAATCACACATTACTGACGAGGAAATATTGAAGTGCGAGACCGAGTATCCGAGTCAAGTAATGTCATTTTACTGACGAGTTTTGTATTAAATTTTATCCGAAATCGTATTTTAATATAACATTTCAATTTTTGTGTAGAACTTTTGATTAGTATCAATCCGTCAGTCTCAGTGATGACAGGAGTCATTATATGACATTAGAAATGTCACAAATGCGGGCGGTAAAGTGACGATGCGGCCGGTAAAGTAACAGGTGCGGCCAGTAAAGTGACAGGTGCGGCCAGTAAAGTCACAAGCGGCGTCTGCCTCTGTCAATGGAAACTCAAATTTTCTGACAGAACGTAGGCATGGACGGCATGGATTCGAAGATGTGCGAGAATCCGATAAGCTTGTGTGAAGGAAATATTAAAACACAAATAAGAGATAACACCAAATGCGTAAAGTACGTACCGTAAAGTTTATGAATTACCTATTTGTGATTTTTTGACTATTTAGAGGGTAAGAGTGATATGGTGGACAACAGAAATGTTTCTAGATAAATCAAGATCAAATGTTTCATTCCGCAATGAATGCTTTTCAAAAATGCCTACTCTAAAACAATGCGACGCCAAAAAGTTGTTCTGATTTTAAATTTAAATAAATTTGATATGTTGAGATCTTTGAACATAAAATAGTGAATTCATACAGAATTGATTGAAAAAGAAAATCAGTAAGCGACGCAACCGTAAAACAGGTAGGTATTATGAACACTGTTCCAACTGTTGGACCAAGAGTAACAATTGAAAGATTTCTGTCAATTTTCAAAAACTAATTTAGATTCGTTTTTTCATGTTGCAAAAATTCAAATTTGGTTTTTATTATTTTCTATGTTATTTGCACAGATATAAAAAAATTTTATATTACATATATGCTTTATTAGAAAGACAACGATGTACGGCACGCACAAAAAAAAAGAAAAGTTGGAAACTGTTTCAACAGATTGGTGCACCCGCCCACAACGCCCTGATGCTCGTGCGAGAATAGCACCTTAAATTTTCTGTATATACGCCGTTAACAAGTATTTTTGTTTACTGTTTTAGTTCCAGCATAATCGCTAGACAATGTTTAGCTCATTTTTTATGAATTAAAAAAAAATGTGGTATTGTTTGCGTTTTGTCCGTCGGTCTGTCCCGATCCACTTCTGCGATTTTGAACTACTTTTAAGGGAATGGTTCAGAGTCCTGGAATTTTTTGCAACATGTAGCTTATAGCTATACCAAGGAATTAACTTCTACCAACCTCCTGACCTCCTCGACTCGTTATCGTGATCGGATATAAATAATTCTTTACATCTCAAGAACAGATTGTCGGAGGATGGTACTCACAAAGGGTGAAAGTAATAATATATCTATTGGTGATGTCAAAACCTTACGAGCGAATATCTCGAAAACGCTTTGTCAAAGGACCCACAAAGATAAAATGAACTGAGACCATATCTATTGGTAAAGTCTCCCCATTAATCATCTAACTAGAAAGAAACATCGATAAATGTAGCATGCTACTAGCTTATAACGCAACCATTTAACTAAGCTATTTGGGTTTAAAAAAATGCGCTTTATGTGCACAAGAGTTGTATGTACACAATTTATACTTATTTTACGAGCAAGGTGTAGTATGATCTTTGGAGCAAGCAAGCTACTTTTAGATTTGAGACCTAAAAACAATTTGCTTACCTTTGTACTTGGGTTCTCTATATACCGTGTGTCCTATTTTGGTTGAGACTAGGCATGGGAATTTTTTTCGATATATCGATAGGTATCGATAGTTATCGATATATCGAATAACAATAGGTAGAGCTAAAAAATCGATATATCGATAACTATCGATATATCGATACTTATCGATAATCGTATCGATATGTCGATAACTATCGATATGTCGATAACTATCGATATATCGATATGTCGATAACTATTGATATATCGATATGTCGATATCTATCGATATATCGATATGTCGATATATCGATATGTCATAACTATTGATATATCGATATGTCGATAACTATCGATATATCGATATGTCGATAACTATCGATAGATCGATATGTCGATAACTATTGATATATCGATAACTATTGGTACGATAAAATTATGTTATTGTTGAGATTTCAACGAGCGCTACTATTTTTATTAATAAAATCCATTTTCGGGTTTACTCTCGTGTAAATTTACTATTTTTAGTTGCTCGACGTTTCGGAAACTTAACTTTGCTCCCTTTCTCAAGAGAAGCGCTACGTCACATCATCATCCATGCCAAATAAACGCAGTAATAAAATCTTTAGAAAATAGATCTTTTCGTCTTACTGACGATTGCTCAAAAAAAGAAGCACTTCAAAAACTTGAACAAAATGTTGCATCAAAATGGCTACTCTTTAGATAAAATAAAGAAGACAATCAAAGGGTGTAATCATGGCCTATGTATCGGTATCTGACTGATGGTTACAGAGGACCAGTCACAAAAAAACAGAAATGCTAAAGAGCCCTGCGATAATTGCACAGTTAATATGGTAACTCCATTAAAGTTGCAAGAACTGCATTCGGTTATTTTCATATTTTGTTAAAAGAGCCCTCTTGTCTTGTCGGGCTCTTTCGCCAAAATATAAAAGTAAACTCATGCAGTTTTTAGACACGCTTTCAAAAAAATTATCGGTAATATTATATCGATACCTATATATTAAAAACTATCGCCATAACGAGAACTATCGATATACCGATACTTATCGATATAGCGGTAGTTATCGATCTTTCGATAGTTATCGATGTATCTATAACCATCGATATTTCGATAATTATCGGCATATCGATAAGTAAAATATATCGATAGGTAAGTACCCGATACTTATATCGATAGGTGAAAACAGATTATCGACATATCCCTATCCCTATCGATAACTATCGATCGACAACTATCGACATATCGATATATCGATAACTATCGACATATCGATATATCGATACCTATCGATAGTATATCGATACTATCGATATACTATCGATATATCGATAACTATCGATATATCGATAACTATCGATATATCGATAACTATCGATATATCGATAACTATCGACATATCGATAACTATCGACATATCGATATTTCGATAATTATCGGCATATCGATAAGTAAAATATATCGATAGGTAAGTACCCGATACTTATCGATAGGTGAAAACAGTTATCGCCCATCCCTAGTTGAGACTGCAGTGTATCTCAGGCGATTTTAAAGATAAGAGGCATGCGATGTGCGGTTTTTAATATAAAAGGCTCGATAAAAGGATCCTTGTTTTGGATATCCTTAAATACAAATGAATTATTTTTATTAGTTTTGATTGGCGATTTGCAATAAAGCAATATAGAGACGGGACTGACGGAGTACCGTGGGTTTAATTAAAATATAAAAGACAATTCAAAATGCGAGAGGATTATGGTGCAATCGGAATGAGCAAAACTTTCGGAAATACTAAAACGTAAAATCCCTGAAGGTGCGATGTCTAATTCATAATCTCTTCTTTAATCTTTCGTTCTTTTTCATTTCGTTTATGTTTGTACACAACGAAAAAAGCAAATTCATTTACAATTCCGGGAACATCCTGGGACACGTCTATTAATATTTTCACTTGTTTGTTTTTTTGCATTATAGATGTTATATGAGTAGGAGGTACAATGTCGGCATACATTTTTTTATCTACGATTATTATTAATAACGCTCAAATTCGCGCTCAAATAACTTCACTATATTTTAGCGAATTATGATATGCATTATTATCGGTTCCTCTGAAATCCTTATACAGTGTGAGCAACAATGATTGAAGCGTGCGTCATCACCGCTTGTTCCTATTAATATCAAAACTACCTTCTTTGTATGGAGTTGTATACGAAAATGACGTTCTGCGCTGTCACAGTGACGTGCGTCTATTCGTATTTCGTATCTTGTATCAAATCAGCATATGCTATGAGCGGCACATTGCCAATTTAGCTGAAGCGACACGCTTCAATCTTTGTTGCTCACTCTGTATAATGTTACCGGCAAACTGCGAAATCCGGCATTTTGCAAAATGCCTAGGCATTTCGCGAAATGACGAATGCAACAGGTAAAGTGAGAAATGGAGCTGGAGTTCGCATTTTGCCTGCCTTTCTTTAGGGATTTCGCGAAAGGTAACATATACAACTACTTTATGTCACTATGTATTTCTCCTAATTGCATATGTACTATAATAATATACTATTATATTTTAGGTCCGAGGTTAAATCATCTTGACAAACAAAGTCTTGTATTAATTTTTGGCGGGAGGGCCCAAATCATGTAGTTACGCCACTCTATGTTGTCTATCCGCATTTTTCAATGTTTACAAATTAATAACGATAAAAATAGATAATTTAAATTCGTTAGCAAATTTTCCGAACTTCGTTTTTGCACGTTAACAGGAGGAATTGAAAGAATTCAAATTAATCAATTTGTAAAGTTAATTTGGTTGCTTCAACATTAATATGTCGCAACTAAATTTCTAAAGCTGTTTTTTATTTAAAATTACCTGGACTGGCGTACGATTGTTATTTTACATAATTTGAATTCCATTAATTTGCATTAGTATATAATTCATCAAAATTTTGCCATGCAATTACGGTGCATTTTATAAATATAATGAGCTGTTAAATAAAAAAAAACCACTGTTTACTCCAATTAGTTTTGTAGATGGAAGGAATTGTAACTGTTGTTTAAGCATCATAAATTGTGTAATTAAATCCCACGAAAATGGCAAGTTGCGTTTTTTTTAATGTTAAGTTGCATCTTCCGCCAATTTATAGGATGTGTTAAATTTAATCTGTAAATTTCTACGTTGGCAATTTATTTCAATAGCTGTTTGCATAATCACCTTACGGTAATTATGGAAGTGGGGAAAAGTGAAGTTCGTTCACCTTTTACTAGTCGGTTAGCGTGTGGCGTAAGAGAAATGCGAGTGTGTGTGATCATCTGTCTTTATGTTATGTGTTCTGGTGACTGCGGCCCAGATTTGTATCTCGACTTGCTAGACCGGTTGCTACTCCTGCACGGTTTTCTCTGATATACTTCTCGCGCATTTGCTTCCCAAAAGATGATCATTTAGGTGCTGTTCAATTAGTAAACTTTACCTACTATCCCATTTCCCACGTTTTGTTACTCTTTGCGCAACAATAATTTTCATTTCGTTTCTTTGTTCCAGGTTCAATATCGAAGGCTGTGCGCAAAAGGAAAACAGAACATGAAACGTCAAAGCATCGCATTAGTTCCTTCAGTAACAATAAGGAAGACTTAGAAAATAAGCAGTCCAAAAAAAGAAACTGCTGCAACAGATCCAGCAACAAGAAGAAAGTTCTAGAAGAAACAAATAACAGTAAACTTCGCGAGGTAAAAATCCGCATACAAGATTGTCTTCAAAATTCTGCACAGGCAGAAGCGTTAGGAATCATATGTCGACGAGTTTTTAAGGAAGAGTCTGCGGTTTCTGAAGTTCGTGAAGAAGCAAAAGATTTAGGTAGTACAAGTGTAGAAGTGCAAAATAGTGAATCGGTGGCCATTTGTGAGAATGATAGTACATTAGATGAGTCAAGTCGAAGTAGCAGTAGTAGTGTGCAAATAGTGCCGGAAGTGAATGGTGCCGACGACAATGTGCAAACGTGCGAATCGATCCCCACGCCTGAAGCGGTAGTTAGTGAAATCGCGAGTGAAGAAGACGATTGTGTGATAGTGGCGCAAAGGACCATATTAAAAATCGACGAGCGGGAGTGCTCGAGTCACGGTGACGATGACGTACCGCTGTCATCTTCGCCGTTTAGCAGAATGGAACTTACAGAATCTGCAAACGTCTCACTGCTTAGGTTTCCAGATGATCGTTCGGATTCTGGCGTGAGTTCCTTACGATCCGGTAGCGGCGATGAACGTTCGGGTTCACGTTCCAGCGCTTTAAGTTCTTCTGACGAACCTCAACAGTCTGCTCAAATACAACCGACCAATCGATCGCCGCTGTTTATTCCAACTAATCACTCGTATAGTGCACCTATAAACAGTACGTCTGAGCCGGTGCGCGTGTGGAGAGACCCCAGCGTGCTGCTGGAGTCAGAACCACACGTTCGCCACATTCACAGTGTACAGCACCAGTCGCTTCTCATGTCGCACCCATCAACTCCGGCCGCCTCGGGCCCACCCTCTACATCTGCTGCCAATCACCCTTCTAATTTATACCCGCCTGTACCACCGCCGCCGAGTCTAATGAGCCCTCATCCACTACAACCTCACTTACCTCCTCCCGGATTGTATGCTCACCATTTACCCGAAATGTTGTGGAAGCAGCGATATCCGATACCCGTTGGTGCACACTTACTAGGGCCCCAAGGCGCCGCTCACCCTGGCGAAGATATATTGGAAAGAGAACGCGCTTATGCCCAAGATAGATTGTTAAGGTAAGCTTTATTGTTGACCTTGCATTTGGGTTGATTTCTAAGAGTGATGCAGACTCAATAAAAAACGCAAGTGAGATTTGAGATGGGGACGGGTTGTGAATTTTGAGTGTTCTGGGGCGTTACATAATTAACTGTCAAAAGGAATTCATTTGTAACAAGACAATAATGAAAGTACATAAGTGAATGATAAACAAAACAAAAGTCCTAAAAAAGATATGTAAAGAGCCTTTGTTTTTTATGATCGTTCATGTTAGGCATAAGCATTTAATTACAAACGCCTCTTTCTGTTAATTTTATTGTATAAGTTATTACCTCGGATATTACTTTCCATTAAAAATTATATTTTCACATTTTCAAAAGTAGAACAGTGGATACTCACTACCTCGCTCACTACAAATAAATATCATATTATAATAATGGATTCGTTGGGCACGAGGTACTATTTTTATTATTTATTTCATCGTTACATTTATAGAATTCTCTCTTACCGAGGAACCATATACAGGATGTCCCAGGTGGTAGGATTGCATTGGTAATTGATATTATTGAAGGTTAGGTTAAATGGGAAAAGCTTTTTAGTTTTGTTTGCTGATTAAAAATTCTGTTTATAAGTTTTGAAAATTAAGTTATTTAGACAAAAGTGCAAACCTTCGATTTTCATAATAGGTACTAAATATCTGGTTTATAATGTCTACCAGGAACGGTCCTCATTTGGACCATGAGATATGGATATAAATCTTTTGTATTCTACCATCAAATAATATACAGGGTGTTGCATTAAAAAACGGAATGTTTCAACCTTGAAAAATTATGAAATAGGCCTTAAATTACTGACGACATCCTGTGTGGATAAAGTAGTTGTCAATGTATCCTGCTGTGGTCCCGTCTACCCCAGAAGCGATTACCGTCAGTCGAAAATGGGTAAATGACGCGTTGTTGAAATGTTCTCTGAAATCCAAAAAGGAAACATTGACTGGGTGTTCCAGCTTAAAATAAGCAAGTTAATTGCGACTTACGGTGTAGCTGGAAATTGTATGACCTTGAAAATATTTTTAACAGAATGAAACTTTAAAAACCCCGCACCCCAAAAATTCAGATTTTTAAGGTTATTCTATTCCCCAAACCAACAGCCACCATGAGAATTATCATATGAATTTATCTAATCCTCTTCTGGATATGTTAGAATGCAATTTTTCTCTTCTCTGAATTGTGGGGCCTATATCCAAGCTTCAGCATAGTAAATGCTCCAATATTTTTGCATTTTCACATTTACTAAATTTTGTTTGTTAGAGGGGCTACCAGTTTTTTCCTCCTCGTTTCCGTCAGTTCCACTAGTACCATTGTTTAAATCTGTATTTTCAGACGTTTTTCTTTATCTTCCATTGTGATGTCTTTAGACGATATTTCACTTCACTTCCATTTTCATTGTTTATTGACATGCCGCGTGCACGAAAACTGTCGTCATTGGATATACGGTTTTTCTCTAAATAGAACCTGAACGATGATTTTTCGTAATTAATAAGCGATATTTAGAAGTGCTTAACATATTTACTTCTCTTTCTACTCTACACTGTGTTTGCATAATTTAATTATTTTAAATGTTTCAAAATGGTCGCAGATCTCATTTTCAATTAAACGTTTGTATTTAATGTCCGCTTCAATTTCATTCTCTATTCCTGTTGATTGATTCTTGTTATTGAAACAAGTGTTCATCCAAATCCATTCAGGCACTTTTTGTATTTTGTCTGTTCCGACCAGCAAGGTTCTATTGCAAGAGGCAAACCGGTATGCCAAATTATGAAGTTCTGAAAGGTCTTTGAGTATTACCTATACTCTGTGTCCAAGATAAGGATGTCTATCATGAGGATCTCCGAAACTACAGAAGATACGACGATAGTCAAATTAGCGAAAAATTACGCAATTAAATAGATATCAGAAGAAGAAAATCAGAAAATTTCGATTACTCTCAAAGGTATGTCGGGAAAATCGAAATTTACCGAGGGAGCATACCTATCGGAAAAATGTTCTGAAAAATGGAAAATTTGTCTGATAGATATCCTCGCACGAATAGGACCTTGTGCGCGGGTGCTCCATCCTGTTGAAACCAACAATTTACAACTTTTGATTTTTTGTATCCCGTGGTTGTATTCGTAATAAAAAATGGCTACCCGATACAGTGCGTACTTTTTTACGGTCCATATAAAAAGTAAAGTTGATGATTTCTCCGAAACGAAACGCTGTATTGAAAATCCCTCAACAGTGTTTTAATTTTTTTGTATCTATTACAAAAAATAAAACCCAAATCGGGACATTTCGGTTTTTCTGGCATATTGGAAGTAATCAAAATTTTCTGGTTTTCTTTAAAGCATCCTTCCAGGACACACTATAGGGATTTATGCATTATTGTACGCTTTAACTATTGATTTGGTGACTACCTACCAAGGATAGCGTCATAGCGAACTTTCCTTGAGTCACAGGATTCATGGGGAATCTAATATAAATAAATGCAATGCGGCCTGAGGATGACATATAGTCGAAATCGATCGCCGTCAGAAATAATAATATAAAAAAAACTGTTTGAGTCTTTTTTACTTCATTTTCCTATTAAATGCAAGATATTTGAGATTAACTGATCTTTCTAACGATTAAACTGTTTCGACTGGCCACTTAAAAATGAACTTAAAAATAAAAACGCAACCATAAATATTAGTTAACATATCTGATTTTCACACTACGTATTTATATTATGGATCGCAAATATTTCGACAAGATTTCGTCGTAGAAATCGAACGAGGACTTTTGTTTTTAGTAGAAATGTTCATTTAGAATCGTCAAGATTTATCTGACACTTTGCAGACGTTTGGCAACATTAGGCTGTTTGGTAAATTTAGTACTTTTTCGAATTTCAAAAAATTAGTCGCATTAAAGAACTAAAGAATTAACTTTTAGTTCGGGAATGCTTCTTGGCAGTTGTTTAGTCTGCAGAATGTGCAGGTCCACACCTCAATAAATGTCGATTTATAAATTGAATAAATAGTCTCGAGACGTTTATAATAGAAATCTCTCCATGCTCTTAGTTTTCAAATGTGTTTATTTCAAACACGCGACAAGGATAACATCACACTCGCTTTTTTTGGTTGAAATAAAATTGTACATTATTCCATATCTTGTTTAGAGATCGTCAAACTCAAGAAGCGCGGGAATTGGAAAAACAGCAACATAAGGAACGGGAGTTGAAGGAAAGAGAACGTCTGGAGCGTGAAAGGCAAGAAAGGGAGAAGCTTGAAAGAGAGAAGCACGAAAAAGAAAGAGAGCAGGAGCGCGAACGGCAAGAAAAACAGAGAGCTGAACAGGCTGTTCATAAACATTTTGAGGAATCGTTTCGCCGTATAAATCAAAAGGTAATTGGGTACAATCGAATTCTCATACGTTACAGATCTGGACTATTTTAGAGTTGGAATTTGAAAAGTTTACCGCCTCCCCAACGTCACAGTACTACAGAAGAGGAAAGAAAAAGGATAGATAGCGATCATCAAAGGCATTTGGTTATGCGTCAGGACAGATATTATTCAGGAACGGTAAATAATACTTTTATATCCTTGTGCTTTATCTAAAAAATATTTCGAATTACAGTCGCAACGTCCACCTCCCGTTACCAAAGCCGAGTATCCCCCGCCCGCTCACAGTAGAGTTAGTACAAATAAAACCGCTGAAAAGCTATCCGTTCATTCAACATTACCAAAGGCTGAAGTAAATATGTTTGGTTACCCCGCGTATCAACCACAAACTGCATTTTTTCTGCACGAACCAAAGACGAAAAGTGATCATCATAAGCAACCCATGCAGTCCAATACTTTGGTGGTTACAAAAAGTTCAAATTCGGTAGAAAGAGAAAGGGATACGTTACCAAATCCGCCCCCTCTAATGAGCGAACTGAAAAGTTCCGTTATTGTTAAGCACGAAGGAAAACCTCAGCATCATTTAGATCCTAAGGTGCCAATAACGCATTCACAAAGTCCCAAGTTGAGAACTACGGACATGGTCGGTCATTATTTACCTTCGGGCCAGACGCATAAACCTAGCATGTACGAGTATCGGAGTCAAACACAATCGCCCCATTTAACGCATGCTCAAAGCCCTCACCACCATATGGAAGCACAAAATCTGGGAAAAACAGGTCACCAGCGACCGTCCCCCGTTCAACTTTCTAGTCCCCATCATCAACGACAGTCCCCACACCCTCACCTTCAGTCGCACCAGTCGCCGGATTTGCGCTACAGAAATGTTTCCGATTCGTCGGCCATGATTTACCCGTCCCCTGGGAAAAGCCATCTACCAGCATCATACTCCTACATGCAGCAACCAGTGTCGACATCTTCTCATCATAATCTAGCAAGTACAACATCATCAAATTCCAAACCTAAAGTCAGCAGTCCAGCCCCACATCATATCTATGGGAAACCATCCGCAGGAATTGGCTCAGGACTTCCCGTTGTGAGAGCGCACGAAGCATCATCTCCGGCCAACCCCATTCCATTAACTTCTAAGCCGCCGTTATCGTCATCCGTATCACCTTCACCATTCCAACAAATGTCTCAGTATCATCCCCCTCACCAACAAGCAACTCCGCCTACAACGTGTCTACCACCTCCAGCACATAGTAGTCGTACAAGCTCAATCGACAGCAGGCCCGCTTTGTATGAAAGGTTATACACAGGAGGAACGGTCCCTGGAGGTTTATCCGCAAAACCTGTTCCTCATCATGGTACCTCACCACCGACAGCAGCTTCGGCTCCTTCCTCCGTATCAAGGGCGCAAATGCAATATTGTGTACCAGGCATAACACATTCCTCTCAGAGTGTTGGAGGACCTGCAGTTCAAACACAACCTTTAGATTTGGGAGTTTCTTCGAATAATAAATACGATGTCGGCCTCTCTCCCAAGAGGAAAGGGACACCTGTAAGTTCCAGCGGAAGTATGAGCATGGAAGTGAAAAAGAGGCGAATAGAACAACCAAGTATTTCACTACAACCTCATCATCTTCCCGTCTTCTCAGGAAATTCCCAACCCCAGTTGGCTAGGGTTAGCGAGCCAAGTCCATTAATAGCAAGTGCAGCAACTACTATCACAACCGTTGTGAATACTGCCGCGTATAGACCTCCGTCTGCTAATTTAATTTCTACCCCAAGCCAATCACCTTTAACCGAAACGTTAGCCGATGTTAGTGTTACAGCAGTGACTATAGCCAGTGACTTTAATAAATCTACAGACTCTGAAAGTAACGGATCGTTTATAACTGTGAATAGTGGAGCACCAACGGTACCAAGTCCAATACCTGCCAATCCCCAACCGGCAGAATCTCCAAATACCCCACTGAAAACGTCGTCAGTGACGCCAAGCATGATAGATTCGGAGAAATCAAACAGTCCAGGTCCCACGAAAATAACAACTTATCCAGTTAGACACCTAAAGAAGGCGTGGTTGCAAAGGCATACGGGCGAAGATATCGAAGATACAACTGGCGTAACAGGTGGAGGGAGTTGTGTTACATTGCCGATGAATATTCCTAGCAATTTATCAACCAAAGATATACCAGTTGCGTCACTGCATAATATTGGCTCCATGGCGGTTAACAGCATTAATAAGGTTAAATCGTTCGCGTCAAAAGCCGGACGGAAAACTCCCCATAAGGATAACGCTTCTTTAAATGGTCATCCTAGTGATTCTACGAAAGGGGAGGATTCCTCAAGTTCAGATCAGGACCGAGGTAGAAAATCGCCGCCGAAAAGAAAACCTCCTAAAGTGAAGAGAAAAAAAGGCGGAGGCACTGCCAAAAAAATAACTGAGGAACAGAGAAAACGTAAAAATAATCAATCGGTTCCGGCTAGCGAGAGTGGTAGTGACAGCGAAAAGGAGAGCGGTAGCGAGAAGGATTCCGATTCCGGTGCCAGTACCACGGTGGCGACGCTAAAGAAACCGAGCAGTATAACCGCGACGGGTAAGGAGCCGCGAAAAAGAGGAAGAAGACCAAAATCCTCAAAAAACGATAAAGGCGAGGAGCCGCGCCCCAAGAAAGCAAAGGATGAAACATCTGTGCCCCAGCGCGACCCCTTTCGCAAACCTCCGATGGGGCAGTTAAAAAAAACCGGTGAAAGTTTTTTACAGGACGGGCCGTGCCATGAGGTGGCACCAAAGCTAGCCAAATGTAGAGAATGCAGGTGGACGCCCAATCAGCGCTCGAAAAACATGCCAAATATTTTCTGCAGATTTTACGCCTTTCGAAGATTGAGGTACACAAAAAATGGGCAGCTTGCGATAGCTGGCTTTTCCGATCCACATAAAGATGCTCTAGAGGTAGGTGAATTTGAAACGTTTGTGTCAGATCATTTCCACCATACTTCCATATCCGGAATTTTCACATTAAAAAAAAATTCTAAAACATTTTCCATCCCCAAAATATCTCTTTAATATCTAAAGTTGCACCTCTTGGGGTAGTAGTAGTAGCAAACGAAATATGTTTTAAGTTGAGAAAAAAATATCACATGCATAAATCAGCCTTTAAGTAGTAAAATTCCTGAAGTTAATTATTTTTGGAATTAAAGTTCCTAGCCTTAACGTCACATGTTCCGAATTCCACTTCGCGTTGCATATTCAGTGTATAGAACGCTCTAAAAACTCTTAAATTTTGTTGCACAAAGTTTCATTGTTCATTCCACTTTGTTGATTTAATTAGTCTGACACTATATGTATAATAATAATAATGTTTATTTAGTAAAAAACAATTTCACATTGTAATAAATATATACGTATTTTATTAAATACTAAATACGTTTAAGGAGGAAAGGTATAATGAAATTAAACAGGCTCATTTTTTTACATTAGTGTACGGTGCAATTTATCAGTCACTATTCATATCTGTAATGTATTTCAAAATAGTGATATGCTGTTGTCTAAATAAGAAGCAATCCCACACTTTTTGTCAAAAATTTTACTTTTTTGCAGATGACACTAAAATTACGCACTTCAACGAAATGTAATAAAATTTACTAAATGGTCCCATTTTCTTCAATAGATTATCGTCCCGAGTTTTTCCCCATTACAAAATCCATTGCTCAAAAGAACAACTCCCATCTAATGAGACATAATGACAATTTCGGTGAAACTTAAAACTAGAAACCAAATATACCTGATGGATGGAACTTTACTTTTAGATTGTGTATTAGTAGTAAGAACCAAGTTTGTAGCTGAAGTTAAATCACTTAACTTCTAATAAAGATATCTTTGTGACTATGTATTTCTCTTAATTTTTCAGGAAGACTTGAAGCTGTGGTTACCATCAGCGGATAATCCTCCATCGGACCTTGATTTAGATACCTCTCGTATTCTTCTAAAGCAAGTGGGTGATCAGTTCTGTGATTTATTGGTTCAAGAAAAAGATGCTTATTCGGAGCATATGTCCGAGGGTAAGTTTGTTTGTGTCACTGTTGTATGTTTATTAAATATATGTGTTGCAGATAAGGTTATAGCTTGGAAAAGGGTTGTTCAAGGTGTACGAGAAATGTGTGATGTTTGTGAAACAACTTTATTTAATTTTCATTGGGCATGTGGAAAATGTGGCTTTGTTGTGTGTTTAGATTGCTATAAGGTAATGTGTGTTACTAACCTAAGGCTGTCGTTACTTACTTGTAATCGTTTTTAGGGTCGTAAGAATGGCACGATACGTTTGTGGGGTGAGCCGTCCCAGAAAGACAGAGATGATTTCTCCTGGCTTTTATGTACAAATCGACAACCTCACGAACAAGAAAAATTAATGTTAACTCAAATTATTGCTGGAGATTCGTTACTTAAGTTAGGAAAATTGGTGCACGAAATGCGCGAGCTTTGGAATATCGAACAGTATTGTGGTTGTTCAGCAAGTAAGGAAGTTTCTCAGAAATCTAATGGTGCTCGAAAGGAGATAATCAAGAGTATACTTCTCGGAGAAGCCAACGGTATTAAGAAGGAAATTAAAGATGAATTGGATTTCAAAAGCTTGATAAATGGAGCACCGACTAAAGAAGAGAAGACGTCGCCGTTGAGCTGGCTAGCAGACGTTGCGTTGTCGAACGAAGACAAGAAAGACAGTTTGGACGGCGATGACAGCAGCAGCGATTCGGGCGGCGAAGGAAAGTATTCTACCTTAAGAGACTTGCTAATGCAGAAGAATGGTAACTCTGTCGTATCGACAACCACAACTACGCCTAAAAGTGTTAAAAAGACTAATGTGAGGTTAGATACTTTGGATGACGTGATATCTAGTGTTATAGAGGATAGTGTGCCGAAACATAGTGATATTGGCGTTGACGTTAAATCGGAATTAAAACATTTTGTTAGGCGCTATAATTGGCAGTGTAAAGGAAGAATACAATTACCAATTCGAATTATGACTCTTACCGAAAGTAAAGTGCTGTATCCTGATACACCTCACAGTTGGTTGTGTGATGGAAAGTTATTGCGATTGTGCGATCCTAACCATAATGGAAATTACAAGATTTTCATGGTAAGAACATTTGCAAACATTTAAAAATTGATTATTGTGATAGAAATTTCAAAGTGATTTGCTGTAAACCTAGAAAAGGGGTATCTTTAAGCCGCTTAATAGAAGACACAAGGGATTATATGCCTTGTGGAGAACTCCATTTTCCAGGTTCATTATAGATTATGGGGAAAGGGTATTTTTCGATATAAAAAAAGATTAGAACCTTGCACTCTTGCCAGTTTCAAAATCGAAAATTGCAATGATTTAATGACTGAATGTTAATAATATGCGATTTCAGTCCCGAAATTTATTTTGTAATATGTCACATTGTTATAATTGCTTTTCTAAGGTTACAGTTTCTGTGTTCGTACTTATACCTCACAAATAAACTTATCAGAAACATTCGGGAAAATAATAGAATTTTAGTTTTTATATAAAAATCAGTGGCAGGAATACTTTTATCGTGAAGAAAATTCTTCATTGGGTGAATTACCTTTATGTGTAATAATAATATTGGAATTAAATTATTTCACTTTTCACCATTTCTAGAGTATACAAAACTTGTTTTTCTACATAAAAACACTATTTGTCTTCAACAATATTTTGACTATAATAATTACTCTTATCAGACTTTGATGTCCATTATGATTTTTTTGATGAAGTTTACAGGTCATTGTGGCAAGTCGGACAAGTCAATGTTTGAATGTCGGTAACTATTTTTCAAAAATATTGTTGTGTTAAACTTTTTTTGTTTTCATAGAGGATATGCCCAAAAGTAAAAAAATCATCAAAAAAGTTGTTCTTTAATTTTTTTTCAACAACTGTAAGATGGGAACGTCATCTAAATTTACGGATATGCCTCTTCCAATTCTGTAAAGGTTTTTTTAAGATCTCCAGATACCAACCGTTTTTAACTTTTGATTTTTTGAATTCGTAATAAAAAATGCAACTCGATAATCGAGTAATGCAACTCGATAATCGAGTAGTATGTACTTTTTTTGTACGGCCATATAAAACAAGTATAAATTGTACACAACTCTTGTTCAGATAAAGCGCATTTTTTTAAACGAAATAGCTTTTGTTTTGACATCACCAATGGATATATTTCTTGCAGACGTCTCAATCGCCCTTTGTGAGTACACTCTTCCGACAATCCGTTCTTGAGGTATAAGGGAATATACCCGCTCGCGATAAGAGATCGAGGAGGAGGGCTATGGCAGAAATTAATTGCTTTCATTGAGACCTTTCATTAAGGCCGACGCGCATTTACGCGCAGCGCCTTTTTCGGTCACATTGATTTAAATGCGCGTTAAGTGCGCATCGGCCTTTAGAGTACCATGAAGGATAACCCCCCCCCCCCTCTCCACCGCGTACTTTGATAAGAGGACATAAAGAAGGGTAGCAGTTGGTACAAAACGGTTCCTTTCGTTTTAATTAGAATACAATGAGAGATAAAATTAATTTTTTTTAATTCTTAAAAAATGCGCTAAAATAAACTTGATTATGATTTATCAGAATCGAAGCGTTGAATTGAAAATCTCTCAACGCTGTCTTGTAGAGCTCAAAAAGTGAAATGAGAGTGTTTTTTATTTTTGCTATCTGTTACTGTAATAACAGAAAAAAATAAAAACAAAATCAGCAAATTTTGGTATTTCTGGCATGTCTTCGGAAGTAATCGCTGATTTTATTTACTGCATGATAACCCAATTCGTTAATTGCATCTTCTATGGTTTCCGAGATCTGCATCATAGACTTTCTTATCTTAGGCACCGCGTATAGGAACAGCACATAATTTAAGTTACTAATTAACTTTAATCTTAAGAACAAAACAAAAAAAGAAGAATAAACAAAGATCGAAACACAGAGGCCTTTGCGCTGACAGTCTTAAGCCTGTATAAAGTCAAAAATGTGAAGGGAACTAGAAGTACTGACAATGTACAAACTTAAAATAGATCAAATATTTCTGTTCGAATAATTGATTTCGAGCAATAGAATTTGAACAATTTAGCTAGACCCAGCCAGTTTAACGAAGCTGTTAGTTTTGATCCTTTCCTGGGGTGACCTAATTCTCATGGCTTGAAAATTCTTGTGTCTGTCTATTCACAACTAGGTTTATTATGTGGTCAATTTTTTCTCGAATGGGACATTAGCTTTGTTTCCGTGGTTCTCCCCCCTTTTAAAAAACGTGATGGGCCATTACATTTGCTCATCTTGTAGGGTTTCTTCATCAATGAACTTTAGGTATCTGTATTCAAATGTGTAATATTCATTAAGCGTATCTGCAGCGACGGAACAAAGAATAGTAACATTAGACAATATGAAATTGTAGAATGGTTTTCTTCTATTTACAATAGTGCATATCTTGTTTTATAAAGTAAAGTATCTGGTAAACTTGCATTTGGGATGGAGTACCTTCAGAAGTGGGATACATGAAGTAGTCTGATTACATGAGATCTAATGTTCTGTCAAATTGTATCAGTTCTACATTTCACCAGGTTTTTTCACTTTTTTCAGCTTGACGCGAAATCGATTATTTATTTGAAACATAAAATACACCACGCTTGCTTTCGCTTTTTCTATACATACCAACCCTGGCGTGATGAATAAGATGGCAAATTTTCGGTGGCTGTTTGAAACTAGCAGCCTCGTTTTCATGTTGTCTCCAGTATTTAAGGGAACTTCCATTACCACCATAAAATAAACTTCTTTAGGAATTTTCAAATAGATCGGCGTCCCCATTTCTCCAACATGAAACACGCAATTCTACAAAACAACTTTGTCTTCGCTGAAAGCACTAGGCTCCTAATTCTCGAGTTCATAGGAATAGAAATAGTGAGAGAAAGGGGCGGCGTTCTCTTTTCAAACCAATTAACAATAGATTATTTTGTTTTACAAGAGAACTCCGCCCCGTTTCTCTTAACTAATTTTATTCCTATGAACTCAAGAATAAGGGCTCAGATGTGCATTTAAATCCTTGCAATTAATTAACACTCCTTATCGCAAAGAAATAAATTTTATAAAGTAGGTACCCAAAGTTGGCCAGATGTACCTATGTTAATGCTTCTTATCTAAATTGAATAATTTAAAAGCGATAAAATTAAAGCGTCAACTCTGCAATTGCAAACAATTCCAAAAGGAAAAGCAAACACTGTAATACAATTCAGATAGAACAAACCTGTGCCTATTTCGTAAATAATCTCACAGGTTAACTTAATAAAGTGAAATATTTTCATATACAATATGTCCCGTCATTATTTTTTGGTGTTTAGACAGAAATAACGTCTATGTGACGTGATACTGCAAAATATGCATTTATATGCAGTAAAATGCGCTCATTTGGCTCATTAGGCCATAAAAAAACCAGAAACTTAATAGTTCATATGTTTGTTGAATGTATGAAACGTATACAAATTGTATATAAATCTTGTCCCTGATTATGAGGAGAGTAATAGTAAAAATAAACTTTTGTCACAAATGAGAATATCACTGTAATAAACGTTGTTTCTGTTAGTTAATCTTTATCACAGGTCAAAATCACTCCGTTGCTACTTGCAACTCATTTTGCTAAACGGATAAAAAAAAGTTCAAAACGCGATCAGGCCAAAAAATCTTCACTTTTGTATAATTTATTGCCTTACAAAAAGAATAGTGCTGGAGGATGAAATAAAGAATGACTGGGTCTATTAGGTCTTTAAGCTTAATCAATAATTAAAAAAGATTGAGAAATAGCGTTAAGGTTAAAAAATTTATCACAATTAAAACTGGTTTTCAAATTGGCATTAGTATATTATTTCCAAATGGTTCTGATTACCACATACATCTCCATTTTTTGGAGACCAAATATTCTTTTTTTTAACTTCTGTTTTGTACGCTTGAATGGAACTTTAAACTGTAGGCATCAGGGAATGGTTCTGTAATAAGTGTTTTTACTTTCAGGATCAATGGAAAAGAGGCCAGCCAGTACTAGTGTCAGACGTCGCGAAACTTCTCAACAGAGACTTGTGGAATCCGGAAAGCTTCGCGCGAGACTTTGGGGACGAAAAGAACGACCTGATCAACTGTATGAATGGAAATCTGGTACCCAATCAGCCTATGCGTAAATTCTGGGAGGGCTTTGACCATTTTTCGAAACGGTTAAAGGACGAAAGAGGAAACCCCATGCTTCTGAAATTGAAAGACTGGCCGCCCGGGGAGGATTTTGCTGAAATGCTCCCTTCGAGGTTTAACGACTTGATGAAGGTGTTGCCCCTTTCGGAGTACACGCATAGAAGTGGCAAGTTGAATTTGGCGAGTCGATTGCCGGATTGCTTCGTGCGGCCAGATTTGGGTCCGAAGATGTACAACGCATATGGATCCGCTCTTCATCCGACCAAGGGTACAACCAATCTGCATTTGGACATATCGGATGCTGTGAATGTGATGGTATATGTCGGAATTCCTAAAGATGGCGATTCCGAAGAGCACATTAAGGAAGCATTTAGAGCCATCGATGAAGCGGGTTGTGATATACTTACACGTCGTAGAGTACGCGACAAAGGTGAATTGCCCGGTGCTTTGTGGCACATATATAACGCGCGAGACGCGGACAAAATTCGCGATTTGTTGAACAAAATTGTGGTGGAGAAAGGTGGACGGCTAGAACCCCATCATGATCCGATTCATGATCAGAGTTGCTATTTAGATGGCGCTTTGCGGGAAAGATTGTATAAAGAGTACGGTGTCGAAGGATACGCTATTGTGCAATGTTTGGGCGATGCCGTATTTATTCCCGCCGGAGCACCTCATCAAGTACGAAATTTGCACAATTGTATTAAGGTAGCGGAAGATTTTGTATCTCCGGAAAATATTGCTCACTGTTTCCACTTAACGCAAGAATTTCGCGATTTGTCGGATACCCATTCGAATCATGAGGACAAGTTGCAAATAAAAAATATTATATATCACGCCGTTAAGGACTCGTTGTCGTCGCTTACGGCAGTTCTCAACAAGCATTTGGTGAAGGGGGATAAAGACCTCATAGAGCATAACGGCACCACGACGGGTGATGGCAACAATTTAAACTCTAATTTGGACTCTACCGAGCCTGCTTAATCATGTGATAGTAGATGCGCTTATAAGCCAGCGATCAATTTTGTAAAATATAAATAGTGTGATAAGAGAATGTGTATTATGTAAACACGTTACATGTGTATAAACGACGATGCCCTATGCACGTGAGATGTTTTGTGTACATAAATGACAATTAGTTGGATGAAATGCTGAAATGCACGGTTTATCTTCCTGTTAGTAGTGACTAGTGGCTTCCGAGTCACCAGTTGTAATTAGCCTATTCTACTCACTCGTTGACTACTTGGTGTCCGAGGTTTGCCTTGGACTTATATATCAGTGTTGTATCAAAGTACCAGTGGTTATTTTCTCACTTGTATACTGTGCCTGTAAAATGGTATTGTAAAGTACCAATTCTTTGTGGGTTTCTAAAAATCGATTAGTTTCTGCTTACTTTCGGACGGTTAATATTTTCAGCATTCTTTTTAAAATAAATTACTCAAGTGCTATTTCATTCAAAGTGCCAATTAAGATTGTTTTTAGGCAGTGACTGATAAACAACTGCAATTTGTACCTGTCTATTGCAGTTGTTTCTTTATATTCTTAAACACGTTTTATGATCTCGACTTTTGTGTTACAACGATTATAAAATAAATTAGGTGTCTCACTTCACTTTGTTATTAAATCCATTTGGGTTTTTTGTTGTAAAGTTTAATTTTCGAATAATTATTGTTTACTTCTGTCGTATATGTATAATACTTGTTTGAATTCATATAAGAACGTAATTTATTTTACTTTAAAAATTATGTACAGTAGCATCGAGTCTTTTTGTACAGAAACAAGTAAGTTTCCTTTTCCTCGTCAAGAGGTACGATATAATTTTTTTGTACTGTGTATATTATGTAAGTATAAATAGGTTTGAATAAGAAAATGTTTATATTACATATGTGTTCTATTTTACTAACATATCAAACCTACTATCCTTTTCGGTATGTATGTTGAAATGTTTCTTGAAAGTAAATTAATCATTATAAAGGACTTATTACTATGCGACGTTCAGGATCTTTGGTTGCACGTTCTTTAGCATGATTGTTACGGTCACTATTTGCATCCCCCTATTGTTCCATACCGTGGTGTGATAAGAGTATTTGGTCCACTTATAGAAGCAAGGACGTTTTATTTTGGAAGTCATCCCATCTGTTCCAGTGGTAAACAAAAACTGTCAAAACTTATACTTTCTTTTTCACCATGTTCTTTATCTGGTATAGTATATCGAACCATTTTTAATTTTCTGCAATTCAAAAAGATTTCAAAAATTAATCTCCATTAAAAATTTGTTTATTCATTAATCGTTTTTATTAGGGTTCCTGCAAATTTGTTTTTGCTTTCCAAAAGTGTTGCTCAGGTGTAAATCTAGTCAAGTTTTAAATTTTCCAATTTTTCATATTCTTTTAGGTGGTAGCTTGTAGCTGTAATCTTTGTATTGATGATTAATTTGGTTAACAATTGTATCATGGGCAGTCCATAGCTGCAATGAGTCCATAATTAAATGATCTGCCTGCAATTGGCGCTACTGTTCTAACATAAGTAGGGTTGCCATCCGTCTGGGTTTCCCCGGATTTGTCCTAGTTTAGGGGGCGTCCGGGCGGGGTTTCATTGCTAGTCCGGGTTTTAGGACATCTAGTTTCTGTCAACATTTAAGCCAACAAGATAAACTTTTAAGCGCCAGTCGGCTTTGATTTTTTAGAACATCGAATCTTCATTTATACTTGGAGTTATTGAAAATTGCCTAGAGCTTTTTTTGCATTCCTGCTCATAATGCCAACGTTGAAAGAATATTTTCACTAGTGGCATAACAGTGGACCAAAGAAAGGAATTTATTGAATATTGAAACAGTCTAGCCAGTGATAAAAATAAATTAAACAAATATAGCAAACGAACTCCTGGGTATGGCTATAGCATGTGCAATACCAAATTTTAAACCTGATGTTAGTTTTGCTTTTATTTAAAGTATATATGCATGAAATTGCTTCCATAAATAATAAAGTAGGCACTGCGCATGAGCCAAACCAAATTTTGAACTGGCGTTAAATTTTCTTTTATTCCAAGTGGCTATGTATCAAATTTAATTTAAATACCTTCATAAATAAGAAAGTTTGCAATTCGGTCTGTAAATGGTCGAGATGCGCAAAGGGCACTGTGAATACTGATCGATTAGGCTCAACTTTTGGAATTGTGTTTTGTATGCGCATATTGAATTTCATGCAAATCGGTTCATAACTAACGGAGATGTCAAAAGGGCCTACATTATTTTTTGGTCTACATTGCCAATTCACGAACTACGATCTACAAAAAGAATCCACCTGCAAAATTTTAAAATTTCATCGTAATCGGTCCATTCGGATATGAGTTATCGTGCTAACGGACGGACAGACACCGCAAAATTATATACTCGCTAGGAGCTCGTTAATAAAGTACAATTTCAAAGACTATTTCTTTAGACAATATTTTTTATCAAATTCAGTTGATATGTCCGGGTTTATAGTCCCTAAATCCGGGGTTTTCACGCTTCCTGTCCTAGTTGGCAGAGTTTTGAGATGGCAACCCTAAACATAAGTGAAATGGTTTGTATAAAATCTGTCTGTATATGCATGCTTGCCAACCTTACACTCGAAGGTGATAATTTGTATGGGTTTTACTAAAATTAATATAATCTGTCTCTCATACAGGTCTATTGTTGAGTAAAGGATTTAATTACTCAATGGCTCTATGTAAAAATCATGAAGGCGCGTAACTCCCAGAAGACAGTTTTAACGAGCGGTAAAGTCAGCTTGCTTTTAGAAATCAATACGATTTACCAAATTTAATAATAATAGTTTATTGTATGCAAGATGTTACATCTCATTACAAGAGCCTTCAGGATCAATCAGTTATAGTAAAAAAAAGAAACAGAATTTATAAATCTAAACAAAATTTAAATTACCTATGCATGTGTATCTATAATATCGTTGAAAAAAAATAAAAATCTCTAAATATTAGCAAAGCTCACCACTTGACCTACCAAAATATTTCTCTTTGCTGGTGAACATATGTAATTGAAGTTATAAGTTTTTAGACAGATTTGAGGTTTGACTAGAATTCGAAGTTACACACACGTAAAAAATATCGTACTGACTGTTGTTACCGTCTATAAATTCATGGAAATTAGACACACCTTGAACATTTCAAAAAATCAGATTTAATTTCAAGTGTTTAATACTTGAATTGAAGATTTTGGTGTTTTTCTTTTCTGGAGTCCCTTCACCCGGCGGTTTAAATCTTCGTCTAGTTGGACAATTTGAGGAGATTGGTTGACGTATTTGATATTAATATTTCTTTCTCCTCCATCTTGACGGGTTTTTAATTCTTTCTGGAGTGATTTTACAGTGTTGTGACTGGTTCTTGGTGAAATCAGCTTGGATCTTGATATTGTGATATTCTGTTGGCAGCAGTTTTTTCTTATTAAGAATCGCAGAATGTTACTTTGAGCGGTCGTGGACGATCTGCAAATTTTACAATACGAGTACACTCGATGACTTTCTCAGTGGCGCCAGGGGCAATGACACATAATCTTTGTTGCCAATTGATGGTCATCCACGCTATTGGACACGGAGAATTCTTCTGATAAGCCAAACAGCATAATATTGTTCTCTCCTGTCTCGATCTCACGGTACGTATTTTCAATGTTACAGGTAGCAAGAAGTTGGTCTTCAAGCAAAAGGATTTTTGTTTTAATTTATAGTTTTCAGTCTTAATTAGTTCGATTTCCTTTATGCAGACAGATAATTTTTCGCCCTGATATTTCAATATAGCGCATTGCTGTCCTGGACATTTTTGTTTATGGCCAAGAGTTGACCCATTAAATTTTTGAAATGCTCTTCAGTGAAAACGAAGTTTCTTAGCGTATCGGTATCCCAAGTGTCGTTTCTACCGCCTGCGCTGGTGCAAGCCATGTGTGCAAGACTCCCACATATTGCGCGCAACGTATATCCTCTTGGTATTGGATAAGGCGATTGCAAACCGTACAATTTGCCGACATTGGTAGAATAATAATATCAATGAAAAAGAATTAGTAGATATGGTATTCAAAACTTCTATTACTTATCACAACTCGACGGATTGCACTTGTTTTACTTATCACTTCACCTGTTGGCGTAAAATTTTATATGGTTAATATTCGAATTACTTTCAGAGAGATTTGATTTTAATTGAGATATTTACGAATTCGTTTTATAGCCCTAATGCCATACATGTATACTGTGCTGTGTCCAACTGAAGACTGATTTACCAAAACTAAAGATTTAGCTGAACCTGAATGAAAACCAATGCTTGTGATAGGGTTAGCACGAACATTTAAAATAATGTTAGTTGTCAAAGGATGATTTACAACTAATGTATTGGAAGAATTCGCACTCCCTGTGACATTTAGTTAGTCTATGTTCGTCCATAGTGGGATTTAGTGTTTGAATCAACTTGAACACATAAATTTCAGTTGCTTAATCTCCTGCAGTGCAAGTTCCCCATCACACTTTTTAAAACAATGTGCGTTCCATAAGAATTGCATCATGCGAATGGTTGTCTGAACTCATCAGGTTTGCTCGAGAGTTTATTATTTATTATTGTGTAGCTAGGGGGTAGTTGCAGTCGGTTCCGCCTGCAGTGCGATTTTTTGGTCTATTGTGCTCTCTGGTATTGACCCTTCAAGAATGCCTGTATAACAAAGCCCAGGATGTTGATAGGGCGTATCTCTGTTACTTCCTCTTGCGTAATTTTCATATTTTCAACTACTTATGCGTCCCCTGGCCTTTCTGTAAGCCTCACATTGGCAAATGGTGTGGTGTTTCTTCTTCCTCACCACAACCCCCAGTGGTCTGTTGCAAGTTTTATCATCGTCCTGTCTAGCTGTAAGAGGGAGGCTGCTAATTCTAGAAAGATCTTTGAATGGTTCCGGGATTTTGTGTCGTGCTATGCTCTTTCGTGAGGTTTGCTTGAATCTCCTTTTTGTTGTGTTATATGTAATCCCAATTTGCCAGTTTGGGTCCTATGAGTGGTTTTGCGCTTGCAGTTCTCACAATTTCGTCAGCAACCTGGTTGCCTGCTATTTCCGCGTGCCTAGGTGCCCATTACATTTGCCTAGTGCGTTTAGCCTAGGATTGTCCTGAATCTACTACATATGAGCCCAATGCTGCAATCGCAGCTTTACTGTCTGTTACTATAAAGTTTTTCCTTTTAGTAAGGTTCTTTTAATAGTTGAGCAGCTGCTGTCAGAGTTGCATATATCTCGGTTTGGAACGTAGTTGCTTTTTCTCCTAGGCTTACAGCTCTTTCCATTGCTTCCCTACACTCCCCAGACAGTGCCTTCCTTAGTTATATCAAAGAGTATACGTCATATACTCTGGTTATCTATATCAAAGTGTGTTACTCTTTGGTTATATGGAGTCCTCTGTGTAATAGCCTCCCAGTCATACTGAGTTGGGATATCTTCTTAAACAGTTTTGTAAGACAACTTTATCTTTGAAGATTTCATCCAAGATACGCGAGATGCACCCTTGACAATCACTGCTCGTCATTGACTTTCAGCCGGTATACCCCTTTGAGCGCATCAGCCCTAACAACTGCACAGGTTAGTGTCCATAGCTGCAGTAAGGATCATTATCTTTGTCCGTAATTCAAACATAGGCTCTGCGCTGCACTTTGCTAAGTATCTGTATGTTTTTCTGTTTCTGGGTAAGGTTTTATGCCGCGGGCCGCCACACCCATGGAGGCATACAGTAATAAAATAATTGCTATAATCATTGTACATATATCCATCAGTGGGTGATCTGTGGAATGTGGATGTAGACCCCACTTGCTCCCAAACGCTCGCCTAGAGACCCGCAGGGACTTTGTAACTTTGTTCACTATTTTCTCCAGATGTGATTTGAAGGTAAGCCCTTGGTCTAAGATGCCCAAGTATTTACCTCTCTCTGCACTCCCTGGTAGTTTAGTGTCGTAAATTGCAATGTCATTTAGCTTTGTCGGCCGTTTTCTATGTGAGAAGAGAAGACTTTTTGTTAGATTAACCCCTTCTTTGCACTATGTTTCCACTGGATTCAAAGGTCCCTGCATCACAGCTGATATGGTCTCCTCAAATCTGTCATCGTACCACAATCACTATGTCTTCGGCGTAGGCAACTGTGGGTGGCTCGCTTTACTTAATCTCCTCAGCAATCCGTCTAACCACCAATTATTACAGCAGCCGAGAGAGAAGTTCCCCTTTTGGGCAATATCATACAGTCCGAAGCACTACAGAGTCGTTGGCGACACTCCGTGAATTAGGGCGAAACCGCCTCAATGGACAAAGCGTCGACTCCATCAGGATGCAGGGTTTGATTCTCCATGGCTCCTCTTCCGACATCGTTCCCTCCAGTTTTGCATGGACAAAAGCCATTCTGAGACCTATAGCAGGTAGCTGCCTCGCTAAAGGTTCTGGTATCCTTTATGGTTCCAGCTAGTTCTAGCCTTTTTCTCCAGATGTGATTGAACTTTTCTTCGGAGTGCTGTCCTCACACTGATGTCGCTTTTGCCTTGGTAGGTGCATTGCCTGGTTGCTTAAAACTTCCAGGTCTCTGGTTTAGGCCTAATCTTTTTTAGCTTCCGCCGCGCTCCAGAGAAAGCTTTTGAGGCTCTCCAGTTCCAGGTGTTCCGGGAGTAGTCTTTGTTTCTCTTGGTCTATATGATCCCACAAGTATATGGGGTGCCGTTCTCCCTCTGCGCGATGAGGGTCTTGAGAGTTAAATTGTTAATTAGCACATTTTTGTGAATGTAAACGTAGCATGTTAATGATTTATCGTTTGTAGATTGTACGCAACAACTGGTTACAGTGGCATCTTTACGCACGGGCACAATGGGCTTATGCCCAGGGGCCCCGCGGATTAAGGGACCCCCGAGAGGAGACGAGTCTTAGATATCGAAAATTAATTTTATTATTTTTCCAGATTTCTATAAATAAATTTTAGATTATCGAAACGTTATTGGTACTTTCAAAGCAAGCAAAAAATATCACGAAGAATAAATTTTTTTCATAAATCAATATTAAAAAAAAAATTCCCTCTTGTATACCCCATTGCTTTACACACTGTATACATACATATACTTAATTACAAATTCCAAATGAAAGACGCTGGAGTCTTATTTAGAAATGTAATAAATGGATTTTAAACTACAATATATACATTGACCGGCGCCACTTATGGTGGGTTTATATAATCATTATCAGTAGTCCACTAAGTTCAGGGTGGTTTCGTTGGTTAGCAGCGCGCCAAAAACCTTTGTTTCTATTGGCTATTTCTTAATGATTTCTGATAGTCAACTAATGATAATGATTGTATAAACCCACCATTTCATATAATATACTTCCATCACGGAAATAGTTAAACCAAATTAATGTTGCAACCAAATGTTAAGTTTATCATTAGTTTAATGTATGTATGTTTGTCTCGTGAGTAATAATTACTCACTGCTGGTCTGGTATCCAATAACGTAATTAATACATACTTACCGTAATTTTACTTTCAAGTTAAAGGGGTATACATATGCTACGGTCAAAGTCATTAATACGGAGATTTATTCATGTGTACCGGTGAATGTGAATAATTGAGGGAAGGAATGATTATTTTTTAATTGAATATCTTCTCAGTTTCCGAAATGGCAGTAGTTTCCCTCCCCCTAAAGTTTTAAAAGGAAACGCACGCCAAATTATCTAGTTAACCGGTGATTATGAATAATCTCCGCATTAATCACTTTCACTGTAATTTATTTGTTTATTTATTTATTTATTTATTAGCCAGGGAGATTCACGTAACGGTATTTACGGAAGCGGTGTCATCTTGAAATTATTTTATTTCAATTCGCAGTGGTTGATTATGCTTGTAAACCAAATTTCAAGTTTCTATTTGAACTGCAAATTTAAAAACTTCTAATGAACGGGCTACGTGGATCACCATGTATATGTTACCGACAAACTGCGAAATCCGGCATTTTGCAAAATGCCTAGGCATTTCGTGAAATGACGAATGCAACAGGCAAAGTAAGAAACGGAGCTGCAGTTCGCACTTTGCCTGCCTCTCTTTAGGGATTTCGCGAAATGCCTATACATGCAGGCATAGTGCGAAGGCTTCGTCATTTCCCACAGATTGCGCATACAGCGTTGCCATGGGATGGTAAACGAAAAGGACGCGACGATTGCGATTGTTTGCGACATTGTTTGATTTGAGTAGAAGAAATGTATTTCACCAAGGACTAACAGAGTATTCTGGATTTTGTAATAATTATTATAAATGATATTGGGAATTACGGGAGCTTAAGCCGGCCCTGTAAGGTATACGCTGGTTTTATTACGGCGCAACCAAACGCGCACCACAACTCGGAGGGGGAGATTCAACCGCAGCCGCTTGCTATGACAACAATGTATGGAAGTAAACGGCCTGCTGCTGGCCAGCTGGTCTAGCAACATATTTTTAAATTCAAATGTTTATTGTTTTTAAAGTTGACAGAATTTTGCTTGTTAAAAGGCGTCGCTAGTTAAACGTATACAGTTTTATTGTGTGATTGTGAATGAATGAAAATGATATCGTCCATCATATCTCGATTAGTCATGTAAGTACTCTTTGTTTATTCATGAAGATTTGAATTTTGAAAGCACGTTGTAAACTGTAAACAATAACATTCATTTATCGTGTAGTCTCTGGAATTTTATTATTGTATTTGGCAGGTCCAATTTTTGACGCCATCATCTCTGTGAAAGAAACAAAAAAGTGCGCATTTTTTATTAATTTGTGTATTTATATATAAATGTATCGCCATTATTACTAATTTTATATTTAGATAATGGCCTCATCATAGGTATTAAAGCGCTCATTCTAATTGAAAATACGGAGAATTACACTAATTTCAACCCACATTCGAATCCAACAGCGCGACGCGAATGCTATTTAAATCAAAATCATCTGCAAAAACTTGTAAGGGATTGCAAAATTTTAATTTATTGTTATATCTTGTATGAATGTTGATTTAGCGAGGAGTTTGCGCGATATTGTTCTTAATCCCCTATTGATTTTTAACGCAATTTCTTAGACATTTTAACTTTTGATCGAACTTAATTATTGTTGTCGTTAATATTAGAATTAGCTGGTCATCGTCCGTTTCAATTTCAACCCCCAATTATATAGATACTTTACTGACCTCAAGGATGACAAATGTTTTAAAATCAACAAAGAATTGTTAACATTTACGGAAATGCCAACATTGTTCAATTTAATGGTTTAAGAGTCCATTGTCTCTTTGCCGGTTATTGTTTAAATAATTTTTTTTTGTAAATGATTCTCGTTCGTTTAATGTTAATCTTTTTGAGCCATCATTATCCAATCACATTGGTAATAGATACCTACACTTATTTGGACCAATTTTTAACATTTTCAGTTCAGATTTTTCCTCGGATTTTTCATTGGAGAGCTTATCACTATGTAAGACAAGTGAAAATCTAAAAATTAGTGTTTCATAATTTTTGTCTAATTCGCCTAAAATTCTCGGGTACACACTAATTTTTGACCAAGTACAGAAAATTTTTAAGTGCAAAGTATAGCAACGGAAATGATTGTCGGTATGGGGGCAATACTCCACTCCACTTTGAACTAAGCGAAGACGTTGATGTGCGATTTGCGAAAATTACAATCGCACACTTGAGCTAGTATCCTTGTTTAAGGTTTAAACTGGTTTAAACAATGCTAGTATACAGGGTGTCTTAAATTGAGTAGGATATAACATGGCTGTCTTTGTTATTATACTCACAGAATCGGTTAAATTTGCAAAGTTGTGTAGTTTTTGATGCTGATGGATATTCCGATGCGATATTTTCAATATAAGTAATCGTTTCGTAGATAATTGGGAAAAAAGTGAAAATCGCTATTTTTAATAAATTTAAATATTTTTGTAACAAAGAGAGCTATCGAAAAAAGTTTCAAATTAAAGTTGCAAGAAATTTTTTCAAAATGGCTGTTTTCGAGATATTGACATCAACTTCCTTATTTTAAACGGACGCCATTTTGGATTTTTACACAGTTTGATACAGTTTTTTTTCTCTTTCGAATCATGTATAACAAGTTTTCATTTTTTCTTCATAGTCAGCCACGAAAATAGCAAGCAATTGATATTTTGCAATGTTACAATTGTCTGGCCGACCAGTAGTTTTATTAATGAATAAATTAACATTAAAAAAATATAATAACGTCATTTAAAGTTACAGTAAATTTTTAAAACTAACTAAGCTTATTCGGCACCGTTTAGCTAGTGCAGCAGTTACCTTGCGCAATGTATTCCTCGAGGTATTCCTATTAAGCAAATGTAAAAATTGTAAAATGATAATTAGGCGTCAATGCTAGTTTTGTTTCCATGGCCAACTACGAAGAAAAATGAAAATTGTAATTTTACCCATGTTTATTATTTTAATGATAACTTGGTTGGAAAGAGAAAAAAAATTGTATCAAACTGAGTAAAAATCCCTCGAAAAATCCAATATGCCGTCCATTTCAAAAATAAGGAAGTTGATGTAAATACATATCTCGAAAACCGTCATTTTGCAAATTTTTTTCTACGTCTGTTTAATTTATATCTTGCAACTTTTATTTAAAACTTTTTTCGATAGCTCTGTTTATTATAAAATATTTGAACTTTTTAAAAAATGGGGATTTTCACTTTTTTCCTATTATCTACGAAACGAATTATTTTTTCAAAATATCGCATCGGAATATCATCGGGAATATTGTTGATGAATTGCTCCATTTTTTAATTAGTGTGTTGCTAAAGTATCGTAGTTGTATTTCACTAATTTTTATTAAGAAATTAATTGCTCGCGATCGATTTCGGACGAGCTTCGTCCATCATCAGGCGATACGTCATTATAATATAATAAAAACGATCGTGAATGTGAAGATGTTGGAAGGTGTGTGGGCACTGGCTAATTGTAAATGTTGTCATAACTTACACGATTTCTTGGTCCCCTTCTAAGGTATTTATGAGTCATCGGGCGCTGTATAACAAGTGTTTGTAAAGTAATATGGAAAAGTCGTAAATGCATTGTTAATCCTGACATACAGAGTATATGAAGGAAATGTAAAAAGTATTTAAATCTTTTGGTGCATAATTCATTCAAAATTTCAATCAATACTGCGATTAAAAAATGGAACAGATTTGGCAGCATACCTACTCACCAGGTGCGTTTATGAAAGCTTTCAACAAAGGATACAACTGATACGAGCCAAGGACATCTTTTAGATTTGCAGAAAGCAGAAAGGATTTTGAACTTCAGTCCCAGATTATAGTTTCATATGTCATATTAAAAGTAACGTTACTTAGCAACCATTAAATCTCGGCAATGTTTAATCGCCGAATGATCAACCTGTTACGATCAATTTGAGCAAACTCAACATAATTACCGTGAGATAATAGACGGAGAGCCAGCGCCAAAAAAGTCTCTGAATTTACTAACCGTTATGTGCATAAACATACTGCGGTCAGTCAAGTGAAAGTGAGAACAGGCGTCTCCGGTACGCTACCGAAGATGTCGTACCTGCCGAGTAATTAAATGAATTTACCATGGCTGAAAATTGTTATACAAATAGTATATTGTATTTATTAATGAAAGTTATGATGGTCAGTCACTTAAATATCCGGACGAAACTGGTCAGTCAGCGATTTTGTGGGACAACGCAAACTATTCAGCTCTCTAAAACATTCGTATTTGCAGTTATTTTTTGTTTTTGCAAATAAAATAGCGATTGATAAAAAATTTTTAAATTTCGATTTTCAAAATGGCCTCCCTTCGCAGGATAGATTGAAAAAAATATTAAGAACAATGTAGTAGATGGTGTAGGGATTTTATAAATGTTTTGTTTTCAAAAATCGATGGGGTGGTTATCAACAAATGTTTTTTTTTGAAATTTTTTATCAATCGCTATTTTATTATTTAAAAAAATTAAAAATAATTGTAAATACAACACAGCTAGTTTTGAAAATTTTTGTTTTTTCAATAGACCTTAAAAGAAGGGAGTTATGTCGATATTTCGAAGAAGAACGCCAATAACTTCGAACCATGGCACCAAATCAAAAACTAGAACTAAGAAAAGTTGTTTGCTTTAATGAGGCTGGCGTTTTCGGGTGTAACGATTTAGTATTAACACCCTGTATATTAAATAATTGCGTACTTTAATATCTCATTAACATTAGGTACTTTAGTGGGAACACATTTTATGTTCAGAATTACAACTCGCAAGGGTTTTTTGATTTACACCAAATAAAACATGAGTGAGTGTACTGTTAGCGTTTTTAAGTACATTAAAAAAAATATAAAAAATATGCTATTGTCAAATGTTATGATTATATACATGGGCCTCCGCGAGACAAATTTATTTTCTGACATATATTATTAAATTTTAAACACATTTTAAAAATATGAACTATTTGTTGGGCATAAGTTTCTAACTTTGCGGCTTTTCTGAGAACAGACAAAAGATGGAAACCAAGGTCGCACGCAACACCTCAATGATAAAACTAAATAGGTTTTTAGATAAGGTCTTTTGATATCGGAAATTTAAGCGTAACTTTATCTTGAAAGGAAACAAACACTGGGCGAGTTCCTGGCATTGTTCCTAATGATACTATACCGATATCGGTGGATTTATTTTGAAAGATTTTTAGAAATAAAGCGCAAAATGCGAAAATTTTTTTAATACGTTTTGGTATCCTTTAGCATCAATCTATTAAATTCAAACAAGTATAAATTGTTACCCCTCTTGGGCAGATAAAGCGCATTTTTTTAAACCGAAATAGCTTAGTAAATGGTTGGGTTATAAAGGAGGCTCTTTACACCTAAACATTTAAAGGCCGCCTGGCATACATTTAAAATCGTCCGACACTCCATTGTGCAGATATTTGCACTGAAAGCTTTGACATCACCAATAGATTTGTCTCGTCCTGACGTTCCACTTACCTTTTATGAGTACCCTCTTTCGACACTTCGTTGTCAAGGTATTTGCTTCGACTTCACTAATAGTTGTCTCGTCCAGTCGGTTCATTTTGGCTTTTCTCCAACAAACCGTTTTCGAAATATTCGTTCTTAAAGTGTCGACGTCACCAATGGATATATTTCTTGCAGACGTCTCAATCGCCCTTTGTGAGTACCCTCTTCCGACAATCCGTTCTTGAGGTATAAGGGAATATATCCGATCACGATAAGATGTCGAGGAGGAGGGCTATGGTTGGTAGAAATTAATTTTTTTCGTTGAGACTTTTCATTAGAGTACCCTGAAGGATAGAACCTGTTCCATCCCCCCTCCCTCTTGATATGGAGTTAGAAAGAAGGGCAGTTGCGAGGGTAGGGTAGTTGTTAGAAAATGATTCCTTTCGTTGGGACCTGTAATTGGAAAACCATGAAGGGTAGACCGTGTGTTATTCTCCCACCCCCCTCAATTTTCAAAAGTTTGGCACCACTAAAGGCATGAGTATGCAAAATCTGAGACCAATTGGTTGTCGTATGTAAAATGTATGCACGTTTTACTTTCAAAAACAGCATCTCGGGAAAAAATGCGCTAAAAATATTATTT